AGATGAATACACTCTCGCTATTCGTTAAATCTGTGACAAATGGCATCAAAAGTGAGGAGGACTAATTAAGACTTGGACCAATATGGTCAGATATTTTGAAAATATCGGCTTAACGATATACAGGCTTAGATGGTGGAAAAAAGGGAGTGGTTCCGGTTATTTTCAGAAGTGACATCGGATCGGGAAGCTTGAAAACGTCTCAGTTGAATGAGCCAAACCAGCAGTGGTATGAATTGTTAGAAAAAGAAGACTGGCAGGCTGATAAGCTCTTTTGTCCGCGATTTCATTCAATGTTTGTTTTGAATGAGTTTCGACTGAGAAACGCGGAAAATCAGTTTTCGGAGATCTACCAGATACTACTTCTAAATTTCGATAACCACCTTTAACATTTCTTCACATCCACTGCTTTCGGATATATACTTCGATTATACAGCTTATTGTTATTGTCGCTTGCATTATTTTTCTAACCAAATTCGTAAAGCAAGCGCTGACGTAAATGTTCTTTAGATTCTCGTGCCATTATTGAGATAAAATTTTATGAAGCTCAACTAAATGAAGCACATAATATTATGTAAACCTCAAAAATGAGATCTTTTTCGGCAAGAAAAATTTTTGAAATAAATTCGCCTCAGAAAAATGACCTTAAGGCTTTGATCACAAATTTTTTGTCGAAAAGTTACAATGAATGTCGAAACTACGGAAGTGCAAGAGTACATTTTATTCTAAAAAACAATTATTAATAAACAGCATTCATTATTTCTGATTTAGCTGGTCCTTATTTGGAAGAGACAATTATGAGAGAAACTTGGGAAGTATTGGAAACACAAGGGCTCCAAGAACTGCTTGATTATGTGGCGAACAAATGAAATAGAACTGCAAATATAATTTATTGATAAAGACTGAAAGCGAATCCAAATCGTATAATTTAATTTTAGAATAGAAAATAAAATTTATTCATTTAAAAGAAGTTGAGTGATAGCGATTATCTTGAGGGCCAGAATTCAAATCCTTCCTCCAATAGCAGCAAAAAAACCAGGGTCACTAAAAAATGAGGATGATGTGGAACGACTTCTACTTCTATCTTCAAATTACTGGTAAAAATAAATAAATAATATTATTTATAGAGCCTAAATATAGATTAAAATTTCAGCTCTCACCCTTAGTGGTTAGGCTGACTTCGCTGGCTACAAGGCATTTCCCAAGCTATCCAATCCGATGCTACCGGTGACAATAATCGAAACCATTCTTTTTTATCCTCGAAATCCATATATCACTGGTCCACCTATACGTTCAAAATTTTCCCTGACTATAACAATCCAGGTTTTGATTGATCCACCTCACTCTTTCATCTATCATAGTGTTTAGTAACTAACAAAAATATGCTGACCCCTGTGGTGCGTGTGGGCACGTAAGAAAAAAAATTAAATCATTGAAATATTTGGAAATATTAAAGTGGTGAAAGCAGTTATAGATTTCAACATCTTAGAAATGATAAGAAGTGTTAACCAGGTTAAAACCACTTTTTCTTAATCAAATGCCCGAGTAAAAAAAAATACACTGCTGACGAGGGAAATAATACACAATAAGAATGAATGCATATGAATAAGAAAAAAGAACAAATTAGGACGAAACAAACAAATATACCCTAGAAGGTAATGCATTAAGGAAAAGTACCATCATTCATTTGCCTTTACGACTAAGTTTTTTCACTCTAATTTTTTCACACATTCGCATTTCTATTAAAATAGGATCCTTTCACATATGGATGAGAATATAAAAAAACCTTAACAACCAGATGAATTACTGAAAAAGTCACTTAAGGTACGAATCATGAAGTTTGAATCAATAATCTAAGGAAAACATTCGGTTATATCTGCGCTTATATAAGTTATATAAGCTATAATTAATCACTGATAAAATTATACCAAGAAATTTATCAAAAAATGGATTTACTGATTTACTGATGAGCTGTGTCCCACTGATAATTGCCACCAAGAATTGATGGTTCATATTTAGTCGACTCACCACGGTTCTTCAGCAGCAATGTCGTCTAACATGGAAAGCAAAAGAGAGTGGAATGGCTCGATGGAATGCTCGACTTGGAGCACCGTTGCTGGAGTTTTACCCTTTGCAGAAGTAAGAAATCCTGGTGATGCTGGCGACTCATCTGCAGTTCTACTGTCTCCCTGGCATATTTACTCCGATAATCCAACGAAGTGAGCCTACAATGGTGAGTTTTCTACCATTGATGAAGAAAAACTTATTCTCTCCAGAAAAAAAATACATTTAGCAATACAATACAATAGTACATTTAATAATACAATAGTCATCGTACATTTTTTAAAGATTTAGCTTTGTATTTCTATAGAATTATCAAATTTGCAAAATATATTTTATTGTTGAACTGAATGGAATGGAAATTTTTGTTTCCTAAAGGAAAATGCTGGAATTACGATACAAAAAAGCGAAAATTAATTCGATCCTTCAGTGAAATATTTCAAGAGGCATGAAAAAAAATGAAAATATGAATCGACATGAGCAGAGATTCAAGTAGTTTTGCGATAAATCTTTTAAAATTAATCCTTTCTTATTACTCATTCCTCTTTCTTATAATTAATTTGCAAAAGAAACAGCGGCGAATAGTTAGAGGCCTAGATTGTCCAATTAAGAGGGGAAAAGAACTTTGGCTGTTACCCTCGACGGGAATAAGCCTGTCAATATAGTGATGCCGACCTACGAGAGTGCAAGTGTCGCATCGTCTAAGTTTAAGCAGCCAACGGAGCAAACCTTATCAGAAATATTTATTTACTTACTTATTTATAATCATTTATTTAATCAATTAAATGCTATTATAATATGCTCGATACAAATACATTTGAATAAAAATTACGATTATGAAAATTATAAAAATTATAAAAAAATTATAAAAACGTTCGAGCGCTTTTCAAATTAATGTTACATGTGTGCTACTGATGATTATTATCGATGAAATAGAGTAAAAAAGTAGAAAATTTTAAAATCAGTTGATCAATTTTTTGCAGCTTTTATCCATAGTTTTTATTTTCATTTATTTTCAGATATTCAGATATAATAATTTATAATTCTGAAAATGTATAATTTATAATTATATATTTAAACAATTATACATGTATAATATAATACATATACATGTATAATATAATATGTTTATAAATTATCCATTAAAAAATTTTACAATTAATTTCACAATTTAACAATTGTATCCCTATTAGAAATATGTTTAACTAAAAATTACGTCAGTATCCATAAAAAAATATAAATTTTTTCAGAAAGCCAATAGATTAGGAATTTTAATGATTCCACAAGACGACTTAAAGCTGATTTAATTATGATTTATAGGATTTAATGGAATTGTCGACGTTTACCTGGGATTTAATATGTCTTTATAAATAATAGAGCTAAAGATAAAGTTAGCGATATAGCGTATTACTTATAGGAAATCTTGAAGCATTAAGACGCGAGAACGAAGCGTAGAAATCTAACGAACTAATATCCGTATTATTTAAAGTAATATTTAGAATGAATCACGAAATCAACTTTATCATCACCATTATCATTATCATTTATGATCATCCTTATAGTTGCTAAAACAAAAATTCTTCAATTTTTCTGAGATGAAAAGCAGTTATTGCTAATTTAATTTAAAATTTCTAATTTAACAATTTTTCAAAAAAAAAATTATCACAATTTTTCAAAAAATTAGCAAAAAATTATAAAAAAAATTAACAATTTTCAACTATATAAAACTCACAGTTGATTTAATTATATTATAGTTAATGGAATAATCGAGTACGAATCTGAATTTAATTTACCTTTTAATCTTTCTTTTTGATGCTTTCATTACACCAAACACCTTAAACTTTTGACTTCGAGAGTACAGTCAGTTTCCTTTTGCTAACAGCAAGTTATAAAACTTTGGAATAAAACTTTAGGAAGAAAGATTAAGTAAAAAAGAAATTGATTAAAATTATTAATAAAATTTTTTTTGGGGGTAAAATCGCACATGATTGTTTTCGTCTTCGCTTAAATATTAGTAATGATTATTAAAAAATAAACAAACAATGATAATGATAATAATAATAATAATAATGATTACTAATACCAGCGCCGCCTTCGCTGGTTAGGGCACGTTCTCTGTACACCACAGGAGTTGCATATTTCGCTACTTGCCGAACCCTATGATGGTTGGCACCAAAAGCGAGGAGGGCCAATCAAGACCTGGACTGATACAGTCAGGAAAGACATGTAGGGGAACCAGCGATATATGGACTTAGACGATGGAAAAAGGGATGGTTTTTATTACTATTAGCGATGGCGTCGGACCGATCAGCTTGGATATCTTACGCTTGCAGCCAGAGGAATCAGTCTAACCAGTAATGGTGAATGGTGAAAAGAAGAAAGGAACAAAATTTCTTCGAGGCAACTATAAACAGAAGGATCATTATTTCTTTCTTATTTGGTTAATTTTCTCTTTATGGCTTTTTTTTTATAATTATTGACATTGACAGTAATCAAATATTTTTGGTTAAATATCTAATTAAAAAAGAAATTTAAAAAGTAAAAGTAAGGTAAAAAATCCGCAAAAACTAAAAATATCGATAAGGAGATCAACAAAAATTGAGTACTAAAAAAATTACTTGCGAATTAGTTCTTCATTCTTTTCGCTCAACTCTTCATTATGTTTGCCAGAATTTGCCAAATACAATCTTCTATAGACATCTATAAATCTTTGAAGCTTATCAAAGAAAATTAATAAATGAATGAGAGAATGAGCAAATTCATTATATATAAATAAAATCTAAAAAAATAATCTATTAGAAAATTTATGGGCCGATGACCGATATGTTAATAGGATTCGATTCCTTCCCTTTGTCATTAAATGTGAAGTGGCTATGGAGGTAACTCAATGCTGATATTCTTCTTACAATAAGAATTCCATACCTCTGAGATGATTTCGAAGTCGTTCTATTTCAGTATGCAACCCGCTTAACATTTGAGCATTTTCATTCTGTAAATATGTTATTTGTGACCGTTCATGTCTTCGCCATTCATCATCGCGCTCTTCGATTGCTGCCGAAATTCGTTTACGACACAATTCTTCGATCACTGAATCAAATTCTTCCATATTTAATACCTGTAGTAAATGAAATGAGATATTCAATTTTCATTACGTGCGAGTCGATTCATGAAAAATTTCACCCAATTTTAACGGAATTTCAAGTTGTAGGTGGAAGCTGTTTGAAACTGAAAATAAGGCTTTTTGGAATAAATCCCAGATTTCTGGATTACTATGAGATTAAGGATGAAATCAAGCTTTTTCGTGATTAAATTAAAATAGCCGAAGATTTCATTTTTAAACAATAAATATCCAAAAAGCGTAAAAAATCCATACGCCACAATATGGCATAATTATTGAATGAATTCGTCATAGCACTGAAAAAATGGCATAATAGTGACTAGTCAGCCAGCAAGAAAACCAGCCATATTTTTATTAAGAAGCTTACTTGAGGAAACAAAAAAATCAACGATCATCCGCAATCCCAAATGATCTGAATATTCGTTGAATCGCTTAATCTCAATTATCTCAATTTGCTAAAATCAGCTTAACTAAATAACATTATCTGCTTTCCATGCTTAATTTATAAGACAGAACGAGTGGTTGTTGCCCAAATTATCTCCTTCAGCATCAACAAGTTTGAATTGTGCCTCTGATAAATTTTTAGGACTAAAAAAATTTTCGCTAAATTTAATATTATATTATATTTTTTATTTTTTTATATTTTACTAAATTTTAATGCACTAAATTTTATCTTTCGGTCATTTAAAAAGCCTCTTCTTCAGTATAATACAACCTGTTACTTCCCTAAATATCGCAAATCAAGATTAAATTAATTGGAGGACTTCAGAAGAAGTTCATGCACATCATAATGGATTAAAATCATTAAAACCTGCAAAACTAAACTAAGAGCTCGACCTTTTCGTTCGTACCATAAATTACTGCAACAAGCTGCCGAGCGACTTAACATAAGTGCCATTTTAAAAAAAAAGATTGAATAGTATGATATTATTAAAAGCTTCACATTAAGCATGAAGCTTGAAATCTCTTCTTTTTCTATTTTGTACCGATTTCACTAATTTCTTTTCATTTAGCACCTTATTTGTTGCTGTTGATACGAACGTATTATTTTGGTGCTTTCAAATTAGTCAATTAATTAATTAAAATGTTTCTAATAATAGATGATGACTGAATTTAAAGAAAAAATTTCCGAGGTTATATTAAAATGGTCATTTTTAAATGCAAATTAAAAATAAAGAAAAACATAAAAAATTATAAAAAAGGAAATTCTAAGGTAAGCAGAAAAGTAGGCCATAAAGTCAAATAGTGCAGATCATCTGTAGTTCGTAAAATAGATCATTTTCAAATATCTTTCAAATGCAATTGAATGCTTACCTTAGAATTTTGAGTTGAATTTAATAATAATGAATTACTGGAATTCAAGATTAATTCCAGTTTGGAATCCGAATCGATGAATGGAAATTTATTTTCTGAAATACTTTATATTAACTTGCTATTTCTCCGTTCATTCTATATAAAAGCTTCTTCGTTCACCATTACGTACTGAACACGATAACAAACCCCAAATCTCTCTCATTTTATAAAAATATTTTAAGTTCTGACAATAATCACAAAATTTGGAAAATACCTTATGTTACTCCAATTTCAAGAAGGTGAATTTCATCGTCTACCATCCTAGCGTATGTCGGCAGCAAAATTTTAGAGAGAACCATATGTAATAAAATATATATATATTTATACATGACTATTTATTTTTGGGCCGATAATTTAATATATATTTTTACTTTATTACTGAACATTTTCTACAGAAATAAATCTATCACAACATAAATCACAAATCTCTGCTAATCCAACCTTTATGGTTATCTGGCTGTGGCCAAGTTATAATTGTTTTATACCTTGATTTAACTAAAACATTTAGCACTTGTACGACTTTCACAAAAAAATTGAATTCTAGAATTTATAGAAACTATTTTTAGGATAATTATTGTAGAGAATTTATTTATTTGAATTTCTGATTATTTAAATGATTATTATTTCTGATTATTTTCAAAAAATTGAATTTTTATAATTCTTATTATTTTTGATTCTTCACCAGAGTCCTCCTCTATTCGATCAGAAATACTAAAAGGAAGTCTTACTGGTACTTCATTATATGCACTGATGGTATTTATTATTGTGGTTCGTAATGTTTATCGCTTTGCTGGTAACTAAAATTTATGCACATAAAAGATCGGATAATTTATCAGACTAATATATATAAAACTTTCATTCGCCCACGATTAAAATATATGAAAGTCTGAACCCCTCCTAGATTTAATAAATCAGCTAAATTAATTTCGAAAAATATTTTTTGTGCCGTTTGAATTCTGATCCAGATGATAATTAGATCAGAAGAATTTTGCTAGGGAATCATTCGGCGATACGAAATAGAGATTAGTCCGCCAGCGCCAGCATCATTTAGGTCTTTGAAAGACAAATTTATTAAGGAGTATTTGAGTTTGCTTAGGATTAAGAGAATTGAAGAAGATTTGTCTTGTCCCTCCTAGACCTTTTTGATTGATTTCGACTGTACAAATTCTAATTTTTGAATCTGAATTTGAATTTGAATCCAAATGCTAGAGGTAATGAATTGAAAATATGCGAATCTAACTAAGGTCATGGCTCATAATTCTTTTCGTGACATTATCTACTGGAATAAGCTGCTGCAGATGAGTGCCATTTACCTTTAAGATAAAATTCACGATATCATTTAACAATTATTGTTTCCGTTATAGTAAGTAATACTCCCAATACTTTCACTTAGACTTAAACTTTTTTTATAGTATCTATTTTGCTGCTTTATTTTTTGGTATTCTGTTTTATTCTGTTGCCGTTTTCATAAAGCACTTATTCTTTACTCGCCTTGCTTGTTATATAGGGATAGTTGTTTTGATTATTTGAATTATTAAAAGCGAAATGCATTTTAAAAAATTCTTCATTCCTAAGAAATACAATGTCCCATTTTACGGTGAAACAACGAATTGTGCTGAGAGTGGTATGCTGCTTCGACAAGTTTTCGAGCATCGTTAAGGCGTTAAGGCGTCAGGGATCCGTGTCCCTTAAGGCAAATAAAATTGTCATTAAAAGTGAAGCCCGTGGTGCTAACGATATTTCTATTTTAAACTTATAAATATTCTTTCTCCTTCTAAAATATTGCAGAATTTATATGAAACAGAGAAAACTACCTTTAAAAAGTTGTATTGTTGTTGCCAACATAGTATTTATAGTATTTATAACCAATTCAATAATCAATTTCGTAAAAAATATTTTATACCTAAAAAAAAGCCAAAAATATGATACCAAAAATATATACCAAATACCAAATATACCAATAATATACCAGAAATACCAAAAATGAAATAAAAAACCAAATGTCAATTACGAAATGACTAAATGAGCAAATGAATAGATTTCCAGAAAATCATCCAAATTTCTGGAAATTTGTAAAAGAAGTAAAGAAACTAAATGGAATATTTTTATTAGCAATATTATTTTTTTCTAAGAACTCCTTGCATATTAGACGAGATTTTATCAGCGAGTCGCTTGGCGATAGAGATATTGGTGAATCGCCAGCATTATCACTGTTTTTTGAAATGCTCCTGACAGTAAAATCAGCGCTTCGAAATGAGACCAGCAACCTACTTAGCCATCCAACCGTTCTCCCCAATTTTGTTATTATTATTACTATCTAAAGGGATTCTATGAATACAAAGTGAAATGCAAAAATCGCAAACCTTTGGGAATCTTTTGCTATATTGCGTTTGTGCGCGCAAAATCGATTCCAGAGACATCTCGATGTCTAAATTTTTTAATCAATATTGCAAAAATACCAAATATATTGAAAAAATTCTTTAAAATTATTAAAAATTAAAAATTGATAACTATTTAATTATAATATAATAATTGATTAGTTAATTAACAGTAACAATAATTAATAACAATAATTTTGTCAAAGTATACTGGTGAAACTGTTGGCGTTATTCGATTTCCCAATGACTCTGGATTGTCTGAAACGGATGAATCCTTCGAGGAGAAGGAAGAAGAGTCTGGGACTGTGGTTCTCGGTTCCAGAATCTACAGAAACACTGAATTTGACGACAGAGATGTGCCGAAAAATTGTTGAATCGGTGAAAAAATTAGCAGCAAATATGATCATCGGGTGTATTAAACAGATGCATAGGTATAAACAAGAATGGGCCATTCCATCCGCGTGTGTTTTGCAACACGGATATCTCAAGGACGGATCTTGAGAAAGAACCTCACTGAAGCTGAAATTGGACCAGGAGCTGTGAAATGATCGCGCCAGTCTTAAAAAATTTGTTGTAAAGGATCTAAAAATTGTCGAATTGAGCTTCCCTTGTCAACATGTGTCAACATATTAACATATACCTTAATTAATTTATTTACTGCAATAGCTTTATTTCTGATAAAGAATTTGTTGTAATTTAAATCTGTTTGAAAGAGACTCCCTTATTGTTACTGATCTCATTTTTGATATTGATAAGGCGAACTGAAGCGTATGTTTAAAAATGGCAGATTTCTGGATCACTATATCAGTTTAATGCAACGTATTAAGGTCCCTAATAATTAATCTCTATCATTAATTAAGTCTGATGCTGACTCAAAGATTTTGAACGTATGGGTGGACCAGCAATATATTGATTTAGACGATGGAAAAAAGATCAGCTTCTATTACTGTCGACGATAGCGTCGGATCGAATAGCTTGAAGACATCTTATCCTTGTAGCCAGCGCAGCCAGCCTAACCTGTTATGGCTGTTAGAAGAAGAAGAATTGCATGGACTCCATATAATTCCTTTATTGATCTCCATTTCATCTCTGAATAGAAACGTTTTCCACCAGCGATCAGAAATTAGATTAGATAATATAATATGTAATATCTGCTTGAAGTAATTCATTTATCTCCCTTATATTTTCAGGGTTTCCAAAATTTTAATTAAAACTTCATGTATTACTGCAACCAACCGGCATTTTCTTTTTTCTTCCTTGGAGTCCGTGGACCAAGAATTAAAATTAAGTATATTAAATAATATTGTTATTCGTAGTTAAATAATTTATTCTTTTAGTACAAAATTTTAAGACGACCTTCGAAAAGAATGATAAGAGAATGAAAGAATGAAAAAGAAAGGTAAAATTTCTTGCAGTAAATATAAATATATACATATCATCCAAGCGATGCAAAATTTTCGCAAAGCAGGATAAAATATTAAATATTTCGTGCAATATTGTGGAATTGTATCGGAAACAAATTCGCCAGCTGAAGAGTGAGTGACATGGATAGTATATTGCAAATAGACTAGCTTAGACTATTGCTACGTTTTTTGGATGAATATTTCCTGCATGGCTAACCAGTCTAATCTTCTTCGCTTTCCAGCGCTGATTTCTATTCTTAGATGCGTTCGATGCAATTAAAACCGTGCTTATGTGCACTGCGCATGATCAAATCCCACAAGTTCTGAATAAAAAAATTATAATATTTCTGCCTTTGTATTTGATTTTTAAAGATATACTGTATTCTGCAATTATTTGAAAAAATTTATAAATTTTTTATACAACTCTCATCTTTAGAAAAAGAGACCGCTTCAATCCCTCTATCTATCGTCCCTTTTTTTATATAAGTGGCGGAGAGGTTACTGAAAAGAGAGATTATACAACTACTTTGACTCAATTTATATCACCATCTCAAACATTGTTTCATTAGGTGAGAGTCCATAATCTTCCAGTTGGACCCGCGTGACACTTTTTAGTCTACTCTAGTCCATTTAGTCTATTGACGAGAATATTAACTTCGACCAACATGCGCTGCTTCTGAAAGCTTGAATCTAATGGGCAACACCCTTAAAAATAAGCCAAAAAATTTCCCAATCAAAATGTGTAAAATATTCATTAATCCATATTTACAGAATAATGATACAATAACTCACCAAAATTTTATGAATCTACTAAGTCGATCGAGGAAATACAGCACCTTCTACGACATTTAGATCCTATCCTCTCTTCTATAAATCCGAACTAAAGTTATTAAATTTTAAAAGTTAGAAGAATAAAATCTGATACTACTTATAAGATTTTAATCAGCCATACTAACCGTTCTAATTATTATGGTTTTTAACCTGTATTTTAGCCCGCTACCAAGGTTGACTGCTAAAACTGCACGCCTATTCGTTGGATCAATCGTGAACACTTTTTCGCTGGAAGTACTGGAACGCACATTCTACATTCTGCCTTTAGTTTTGAAAAAAATCTCAACAAAGTATCCACAATATATAAAAAGCTTAATTTCGATATCGTTTTTTCTCTTCGCTTTATTTTGTATTTTACTCTGTTCACTTATTATGTTACTTTCTGCTTTGATCTTATTTTTTACCATTTCATAAGGTTTTATTCCCTGCTTGCTTTATAATAAATAACAATAATGATTAATAAGAATAATTAACAATAGTGATAAATCGCATACCAAAGTTGCAAAGTAAATGCAACACGTTCACAATTTCTGGTTAAGCTCAACTACTTGTTAATGATAAAGTAACAGGTTTGGACACAAATGAACTTTCAACCGGACTTTTTATTGACGTCTACTCTTGTTGGAGGTCCGAGTATTGACGCTAAAGGCGATATGAGAAATAAGCACCAAGTTATTTTGCCTTTCGACTCTTTCTTCAAATACATAAGCCTATACAATAACAAGTGTTGTACTGTACTAAGTAGAAGGTATGGTAGAGCCATAATAAGGCTTAATTCACCATCAAACAAGTTGAATAAAATATTTCCTATAAATTTCGAACATTCAGTAGAGTCGCATTGGGTAATATGCCCAAGGAATCCCTTGGCAATAAAGACACAGGGTGAGTCATCACCTGGATTTTCTCTGTGGGGAATCGAGCCTCAGCAGCGGGACCTCGCAATTGAGCAATAAATGCTAGGGAATCCCTTGGCGGCAGAGATAAAGGTAGAACAATTTAGTAGTAAATGGTTTGAGAATGGCTTTGATTACCAATCCCGATTAAACTCGTAGTTATGAAGCTTTTAAGAGATTTCTGCTAGCGAGCCACTTGGCGACAGAAGCACAAATAGCTTGCCAGCGACAACTCGATATTTTTAACGACAGTTTTAATATGTTAGACGACAAATGCAACTGCTCGACCACCTTTCCAACATTCAATCCATAGCAAACTAACAATTTTTAACAAATTCCATAAAAAGTATATAAAAAGTATATATTGAATTTTTTACACTTGTAACCAAAACTAAAAACCAATAAAATTAGTACGCAGAAATATCTGCACCTTTTATTACTAAAACAACCAATATTCCAGCAGTCTTTGCCATAGTTAAATTTTCATGCAGCAATATTCGTTGACAAAGAAAACTGTATGAAAAAATTGCTCGAAATCTTTAAACCAATATTTTTTTCCACTTTCCATCGTAACTTCTCCTTTTTCTTCATTTTTTATAGAAAAAACTTACAGTTATATATATCGCTAAAATAAATCACATAAGTTAAGATATGGTATAAAATAGATATGACATTTTTGCTGCCGCTGTTGCTGTTCGCTGTTAAAAACAGAAAGCAATTAAATTAATGAATGGAGTTTTTGCTTAATACATTTAAAATTATATAAATGCTTAAAATATATAAATATTAAAATATACTCTAATCGATAAGAAAACCAATTCTTAACAGTCAACAGCAATTAACATGAAAAATATATTATCGTTTAATATAAAAAACCGTTTGCCTCTATTAAAAAAATATTCGACCCAAAAAAACAAGATAAATAATTTTGTAAAGATCAGAAATGAATTTGGTGGATAAACGAAATATTCGCCAATACTATACTAATTTTAAATGATATAAAATTATATAACTCAAGAAGTAGAGTACTATGATTTATTTCGATAAATTCGATAATACAATATCATATTCTACCTAATATAATTTAAAGTTGAAGAATAACCTCATACCAATTTTTTTAAGTTACTAATCTTCAATAATTTTACGTTTAAACATGAAACTTTTGATAATCAGTAATAAGAATGAACCAAAGTCAAATAATTATTTTTGTCTCATATTTGTCTCACTTCCGAAAACATTAAAAGAGTTTTTAAATTTAAATTAAAATGAAATAATTACATGAATCTAAAAATTAAAATTTCCAAAGCTTCATTTTCAAATCAACAGTTTAATCTCTTCTATGAGCTGAAAAAAAAATAAGTGAGAGAACTGAAACAAAAACCATACTAAGATATATAAATTATATAACACCATAAATAAATAAAGACAACCGAAAATTAAGAATATACAAATTGCGAAGAGTATGCCAAATAATCAGACTTAATACATAGTTGATGAAAAGTTTAACAAGAAGAATTAATAGAAAATTATTAATTACCGATAAATGAACTAAAATGAACTAAATTAAGCTCTGCTTTTTAAGAAAAACTTTTCATATAATTTATCAGCAAATCTAGCAAGTATGTAAAGGATATGGTAATAATGGTGTTTCTAATGATTAATGATCCAGAAAATTTTAAGACAAAGAATTAAAGCAAGAGTGTTAAAAAATTAAATTCGTTAAACGATGAAAAGAGCAGAAATATTTTCGAACAAAAGATTATGAAGAAAATTTGTCCAAATTTTACGCATTTTCTTTGCATTAATATTCATCCTACTGACAGCTTTGAAAACATATATTTAGATAATTTGAATTTCTTCCTAAGCTGTCATCCCTTTCACATTCCCCTGTCGACGAGTCTGAAGAAAATCAAATATCGAGAAACTAAGGAAAAAAAGGAAAAGAAAAAATAATTCTTTGTATTACAACTGTAAATTTAAATTCTATTTAGAAATATAGATAAAAAACGCTACCTCATCCAATTCCTGTTGTGTTTTCGCTTCTATTTCTCTAATATCTGTCATAGTCAAACCGTACCAATTGTCAATCCAACAAAATACTTCACGATGAAACTTCGAAAATAAACGCGGATATTGCTTAAAATAACCATAAAAGATAAAGAAAAACCCGTAACAAATAGGAATATGGTGGAACCGGCAGAAAACAGCGGTGAAGGTCAAGATAGCTAGTTTCAGCTGCAAACCGCAAACCGTAAAGTTGGATGTCGTCACAAGCACAGTGTAATGCTCGGTAAATGAACAGAACAAGGCTTATTTGGATATTGCTTAAAATAACCATAAAAGATAAAGAAAAACCCGTAACAAATAGGAATATCGATTATAGAACTAAATGCTAAGTTCTTTTACAGACCAAAAATTTTCGACAAAAATAAATTAATTAATAAATTATAAGGCGAGGGGAAGGCATTTAGGAATAAAATATAAAAAACAAAATTACAGTATGTGCAAATGTTTCGACCATCGTCTGGAAGCCAAACCATTTAAAATATACAGTAACTAATTTATAGGCACACATAACCGGCTGAACAGTTTGTCTCCAGTTATTCATTAATGGACCTCGACCCGTCTTTGTGGACTTGAATTTGGATGGCGAAGTTTCTGGCTTTATATCCTGAAAAAATTAAATATTATAAAATTATAAACCTCTAATACATGAAAAAACCTCTTTTCACCCTCCGTGGGTGGTAAATTCCATCCACAAACAAACTCCTCTACCAAAGCCCTGGAAGAATGAGGCTTCTCCAGTATCTTAGCTGTTCTCACAATACGCTCCTCTGGACAGAGATCTCTGATGTCGTTCTTTGAATCTTTTTTTTTTTCTTTTTCCATATCTTCTGCATTTCTTTTAGCTCCTGGTATTTTCTTTAACTTCTCATACTAGATCTGCTTGCCTATGGGTACGGAGAAATCCCATAGGATTTTTCGCTTCGTTATTCTTCACCATTTTCTGACATTTGGTCTTGGGAGAGCCTAAGCTATATATTGACAAATATTCCTGTAGAGATCTCTGATGTCGTTCTTTGAATCTGTTGAAGCCATTTTTCTAGCTCTAGTTTAGAGGTATGATTCCTAATACTACAATTATCACTGGGATATATATATGTATACATATTATATGTATGTATATATACATATATACATATTCATCATAATTGCACATCAGTTACTAAGCACCAGATCTATCGTAGCAGGAATCTAGATAGGACTAAAAGCACAAGACTGTGCAAAAAACGAAACTGTCCAACATAGGTAGGAATAGCACATATTGAGTGGCATAACAATGTAGCTGGCATTGCCCACAGGAATATCAGTTCAATACATGGCTTAGAACCTCCAAGACTAGATGGAGATCTCCCACAAAATAAGGCCAAAATTCTGTGAAACTTCTCTATTCAAATAGATAGACAAGTAGTTCCAATCAGCCATATACTTTAGTAGTAGAAAGAACCAAAAATCAGCACTGGTGATAGATATAGCAGTACGAAGTGGCAGGAAGGAGTACAAGAGGCTAAATACTCAAATACTCAAACAGAACTAGAGATGTGGAAAGTGAAAGCCAAAGTAGTCCTAGTGTCAGGTCCCAGAGGTAACAGAAGGGTTGTGACCTCAAAACTAGAATAAAGATTCAACAGATTCCAGGAACAAAATTGGGATAGAATGGCTCAGTGGGTCGTTGCTCAATTCGGAGCGTCGATGTCGCGGTTCTATTCCCCACAAATTAACCCCTCCAAAGATCCGGGTAATGCTGGTGACTCACCTGTACTTCTATAGCCGAGGGATTCCCTCGCATATCTCCAATGTGAGTCAGCAGAGTCAGAATCTAATGGCCAGTAATTGCGAGAGCTATTAAAAAAAAAAGGAATAAAAATAGAGATCTCTGTCCAGAAAATCTTTGCACAGATAAGATATTGTGTAGAAGCTCCCAGATATTGTGTAGAAGCTCCCTTCAAGCTCCCAGACCTCAAACCCAATGCTGATTAACCCATACAGGGCATCAAAAAGAAATTTTATATATTTTATATTCATCAAAAAAATAATGGAACTTCCAAAATCCAATTACCGCTCTGTATAAATATTCACCATCGTTGGCAATGTCAATATATATTACTTCTCGTTTTAAAAGTTCTTCTTTTGAAAGACCATGTGCATTTTCGGTTGTTCCCCGATCTGGTAAATGAAGAGATTCAATTTTCACAAAAAAACATTCTTTCATATAATCTGGATTCTGAAATGGAAAAGAAATGCAACCATTTTTGTCGCCCCATAATTTCAATCAAGCAAATATCTAAATCTAAGCTAAAAAAAAAGCTAAAATTGAAAATTAAATTAAATTAATCACACTGTCATTAATAGAAAGCAAAATATACTAAATAAAATAAAACAAATAAATATCGATACAAACCGTAAGGATAGTACGGCAATAAGGATAAGCATTCCATGCCTCCTCATGAATTGCAAGTGATCCTTTTGGAGCAACTTTTCGAAGCAGTGATGGAACTTTTCTAAAAATACAATAAAGATTACTAGAAAAAATATTTAAAAGTACAGAAAGTAATTTAAAGAACTTTTCAATTAGTAGCATGTATTGATTTTTATTTTTGAATATAATGCAAAATTTTTGCTGGCTTTTATTAATTTGCTCCTTGAGGACATTGCTTAAGGACATTTTTAAGAGATGATTTCAAAAAACTTTTTTTTTCACATTTAAAATGATAAAGAAATCAACTAGTTGTATTAAAAGAATATCGGAATTTCCACATGATTTAGTTTAAGATTGACATTACCAGCTACACTGGAAATAGTAAAATTTAAAATGAAAATTGAGACAAACAAGAAATAAATTGATCAATTTGACCTAGGCTAATATGATAGGAAAATTGTTAGTGGAATACGAAAATTTTCATTTGGAGATAAAAGTATAAAAGAATTCCCAAGATAGTTCGGACAAGCTTTAACAAGCTTTTTAAATAACAAATAATCTCTGGCGGAGATGGAAGCCGATCCGTTATGCTCGGAATGGTAATAAAGCAATAAAAACTTCTACAATAAAAAAACAACGTTCAAAATATTTACCTTTTACCCATTTTACCTTTAATACAAACAATGATGCATATTTTGCAGCGCTGAATTAATATATCAGGAATTCCTTGAGCCATATATCTTAAACGCCCTCTACAGAAGTTTTTTTAAGAATCTTCACCATTACTGGTCAAATTACTGGCTTGTCGCACTAGATATTCTAGGGAATCCCTTGGTTACAGAAATAAAAGTACAGGTGATTCGCCAGCATCACTCGGATTTTCGGACAGGTTTAACGATTTATATTTATTTATAAAATATTCGATCGACAAGCTGCGTGGGAAAAGTCGCAGAACTTCAGCATTGGCGCTTCAAAGATTCTGAGCAGCAACCCGTTGAACCATTCCATCCCACATAGAGAAATCTATCATAATCCCTTCCTTCTTTCTAATATTGTTTATAAAACAAATTTCTTTTCTGGATGTGATCCAGAAAAGTCGTTGTAGCAAATTTTCATAAAATAAATGATTAATCTGCAATCTGTGCGAATTCTTCATCACCTTTTCGTTAATACCTCATAAAAAAAAAATTATTAAACAAAAAAGCAGAAAACACAACAAATTGCTTACGACTGCAAATGATATATCTTATGAGTATATTGCCCTCTTGAATATTGCCCATGTAAAAGTGGGTTATTATCGAATGGTTCATTTTTCAAAACCTCCACACCTTCTCCACCACCCGTTTCAGCTTTTGATGCTTCTGCCACTGACCACAGCTGCCCAACTTCATATTCCTCAACAGAAAGAGGCAGAATAACCCGACTGAAAAAATCGCAACAATTTAAAATAATTTGTTAAATTTGTAACACAATAATCCGATCTCTAAAAAAAATTCAGTAAATTTCATATCAACAAAAATCGATTTAAAAATTATATAAAAGAACTGTGTTCTTAACTACTGTAGTTTCTTTCGATAAAAATCTTTTATACATTAATATATTAAAAAAGTGCTAAAGTAGAAACTTCTAAATTTTATTTATTTTATTTTAATGAATATTTTATGAAAAAAGACGTAAACAAGAAATTGCAAACTTACTATTCCTTTACAATCATCTTATAACAATTAAGTGAATAAGAGAAAGCCTTCCTGAAAAAATAATTTAGTAGATTGAATAAAATTAGTTGAACAAAATTAGTTAAAGTATGTTGCATAACAATAATAAAACAACAAAATAATCATTAATTTTTCCAAAAACTTTTCAATATGCAATTACATAAAATATTATAAAATTACACAAAATATTACAAATATATTACGAAATATCTGATGTAGGAAAAAGTGTTTTGTTTTAATAAAAATTAAATATGATAAAAAAATGCTGTAATACAACTTTATCTACTTACCAAACTTTTAAATGGTGTTGTCCTATCTATATCTTTAGGAAACTCCTTGGCAAAAATTTTGAACCGTACCAAAAACAGCCAAAAATTAGCCTAACCATATGAACGCTTATTTACCATTTATTCACTTAATTATATATGTAAAAAGTATTTCAAAATATCTGCATAATAAATAAACGAATATGACAAAAACAAGTTTTTATTTATTTATACAATTAATTATTTCAGAAAAAACAAAAAAACAAAAGATAAACACAAATATAGCAAACATGAAATAAATGGAATGGGTTGTCCCTCCTGAAATGGTACTAGCAATACTAAAGTGCAAAAGGTTAAATGAAATGGAAGAGAAATTAAGTAAATAAATAAACCTAATGAACATATAAAATAAATATTAAAAAATGACAATAAAAGTAAACAAATGAAGAACAGTTTTACCAAAAAATGGCAAATGTCCACAAAAATCATAAAGTCAACGAAACCATCCGAAAATGACTCTTCGTTGTCTTCAAGAATTGGAAACCAAAAAGAATTTAATATTAAAAAGTGAAGAAAATAATGCAAAATGAAGAAAATTGAAAATAAGATTTATTTTTATGATAAAATTTCGTATAAAAAATATGTACATTCAAAAATAAAAAACTTCTTATTCACTTTTAATTTTTCCAGAATTTTTTATCGCTCGCTTCTCCAGCTTGTCGGACAAATTTCGCTAAACAGCCACTTGGTACTGCAAGTGAGTCGCCAACATTCTCAGATTTTTGACAAATCTATTCCTACCAAGCTCAGCATCAAAGATCCGAATTAAGAGCAACATCTCAATGAGCCATTTTATTCCCATTTCTTTTCATCGTTCGACGATACTGCCACCGCTGCATCGGTCGAATTTGAATTCGAGACATCCCTTAATTTTCAATAGCAATCATCCTGATAATAGCCACCGATGCACTATATTTTATATATCTTAAAATTTAAAGGACACTTAAAATAAAAATACGTTTTCTCAAAAGTATTGCCCTTTTTAAAGGTAGTTATAGTAAAGTGATTTTTATAAAAAAGATATTTCTTATATTTATATAGTAGTGTGACATTATATGCTTCCTTTAGATGAGTTTAGCCAAAAATTTATACAGAGTTAATGATTCTGAAAGTAACACAACATAAAGGGACTGAAAACAGTGGATGCGAGAAAAAGCCAAAGAAGATTTCCGACATTCAGAACTGGAAATTTCAATTTTGGCAAATCAAGGGTCCGGAAACCTTCCAAAATTGATGATTTTCTGCGTTCCGCGACTGAAGCTGATCCAAATAAAAGAATGAGACTAAAAAACAGGTTACATTTAGCAATTTTCAAGACATGAGGAAATCAAATAAGGATGGTACTTGCACCCCACATCAATTTACCACACGCTTCAACAATAGCCAGTTTTTGTTTTATTTCTTTTCAGGCAGGAAAAGGAACAATTTTTGGGAAGTGTCGCTGACGATGAAAAATGAGTATTCTACGATAATCGTATTCATAAATGTCAATGGTTATCAGCGACACTTCCCAAATTGAGAATTGAGAAACAACAATGAAATTGCATGTCTGCTCAAACCTGGTTAAAATGTCTTTCGAAATATTTGTTGTGAACAGCTCCATCATCTTCAGAAACAAATTCCTTCTTGCCTATAGCACAGCGTAAAACCTTATGCTTCGAAAAATTAAAGAATTTAAAAAGAATTTCTATCCATCTTATAACCCTAATCTAATCTAAAACATGCGGTATATAATTGTAATTATCAAAGCTAAAAGACTTCAAAAATTCTCAACAAACTATCGTGTCGATTTCTCCAAACTCCACAAATTCAAATTTTCATCTTTTTTCAAAAACACGAAAATACCTGCGATTTTTTAAAAACAGGAAGGAAAAGTTAAGATAAATTGAAAATGATGAATTTCTTGATTGGAGCGAAAGTTCCGATTCACTTAGGTGTTCTAATTACCTTTTCACACTCCCTTAGCACCATTTAGCCAAAAAAAATTTCCTTCATCTGAGGATGTAAAAGTGGCCTTGAAGAACATATCGAATCAGGGGACGAACTTTTATAAAAAAAGGAGAACACATGAAGTGGTTTCTAAATTGGGAAAGGTTGCAGAAAAAAATGATGGACGAATACATGAACTAATAAAATGCAGTTTTTTTAGATATTCAATTTAAATTTTCGATAAAAATACAATAATTTAAAGCAGCAAACAATGAAATATTTTTAAAGAAATTCGCAGACTTTTGCTGCCCTTATTAAAATTTTTCATTCTAACTACACGTTTCAAAATAATAATGAGAATATCAGCAGAAAAAGTAATTCATCTTCTAGTAAAGAAAAATCAACACAATTTTTTTAAAAGCTATATTTTTTTTTAAGCAAGAAGGATAAATATAAATGAATGAATGAAAAAAATAAAAATTAAGGAAGAAGGCCGAATGAAGAGTGAGCCCACCTAAAAAAGGCCGAAGAAACCCAACAATACCACCACCTCTGATTTCATCAAAAACATGCTTTATATTTGCATTTATCAAAGCTAGCAAACTACAGTACTCTGCACAAAAATGTCGTGTCGAAGTACCAAATTTTAAATTTCGTATTTTTAAAAGCACAAAAATATTGAAATTTTTTTAAGAGAGGAAGAGTTAGAAGAAATTGAAAAAGATGAATTTGTTTTTTGATTGGGGAAAAACTCTGAATCGCTTAGTTAACACTTTTCCCTTTCAAATGATCTATCGTTATTGCAAAATTTTTTTATTTGTTCTATTGATAACTATTTTTCTAAAAAGGAATCCATAGTCTTAATTATATTATTTTCGTTTAAACTGGCTTCATTTGCTGTCAATACGAATAGAAATATTCGTAATACTTAGTTATAGAAGGATGGGTGTCGCCAGTATCGCTCGGATGATAGGTTTTTCCAAAGCTCCCCTCTCAGCGACTGATACGGTAATTTTAGTCCTCTATCCATCCAATTATCCTGTTCCTCCACTCTTAAATGAATCCGTAGTCTGCAGCCTTTATTAGACGTTCAGAATTAAAGAACATTCAAAAATCCAGTTTTTAATAGGGTTTATGCAAGATTGTCAAAGAAGCTGCATCACAGTTTATTTACCTTTATCAGATCAGATTTCATGGGTGATATATAGATAACGATAACGATCTAGGACAGAGCTTTAAATACGGCGTTCACTTGAATAACTTTCTCTTCCTCTGTCTATTTCATGTTAATCACTCTGCACTTCATTTACACAAATCGTTAAAAGATTTAAAATTTCCTACAATTTTTGAGACCATAGGTAGTGGCAATATCAACAGATTACCAGTAGAAATCAAAAATATTTTTCAAACACATTATATTGACTTCTTAAGTGATATACATGATATTACAGAACAGCATATCGAGAAACATTATAAGATCGAGAAACATCTCTATTTCTGGGCGAGAATGGACCTGTCATTAAACTTGTGATGGTTGGCGAGGACTCATTGGTATTTCAAGGATTCTCTCTGGTGAAAGGATCTCACTATAGAGTAAATAACAGAATTAACTAAACCAAAAATGATAGCACTTCATAAAAAAATATTTTATTTAGTAAAACAAAAGCAGATAATATATCAAAAAAATATTTGCAAAGAATGGGTGAGAGGTAGTGATAAGTTATTTCAAGCATCATAAACTAGATCTGGCCGCTTTCACTAAAAGTGAAACCAGGTTTATCCACCCTTTTATCCACAAGTGACTCTTTGCTCTTTGGTGAAGACTACCTTAGTAGTAGTTGTTTTTTCATTTCATTATATAAATAATTCTAACCGACTGCTTTTAAATAATGGAATCAAACACTGTGTAAATGTTTGCTTATTGCTGGTAAATAATGCGAAATTCGGCAAAACACAGATTTTTTGACTTCAGTCAAAAATATCAAAAAATTAATTTGGACATATTTCTTTCACCAGCCATCATTTAATATAAAAGGGAATCAGGATGGCTGAGAGGGTTGTTCACCTTATCACCTCATGTATCAGATCTTGGATTTCCGATCTCGCCTCGAGTAGAAGTAGGCATATCTTTAAAAAATCTGAGTGGTTCCCAATTGTACTTCAATTATCAAGTGAATGCTAGTAAAAATTTCTCAACCAGTAGAGCATGCTTATTAAAAAATAGTTAGTAATCACTTATTACTAATCACTTCGTTATTCTTCATCTTAAACGAATAATAAGCGAAAATAAATCTATCGAAATGGCGTCCTACACTTCCTTCTTTATATGTACTTATACCTATATTTCTTTGCATCTTCTATTACCGATTGGCTCTCTAAGCAGAGTGCTAATAACAAGCGGAACAATTTATCCAGAATTCACCAAAGTCATTTAATTTATTAAATTTCTAATTTTTTCAGTTTTCGCTGCAAAAGGTTGGCCTTTTATTACTAAAAATTATGATTATTATCAAGCAAAATCACTAATGTATGATGCTTTTTCAGTTCGATCATAAATATAACAATGATTGTTTATTTTGCAGTTATTACAATAATCTGGAAATAATATTTGTTATTCAAAAATAAATATTTAATTGGTCGGAAAAGTACACAATTTATAAATAAAATATGGTATTAATATAATAATTAAAATTACATGGGTTATTAAATGTAAATAAATCAAATACAATTATGTTTGATATTGAAATAGCCGAATTTTTTGCAAAAATTTCTAAATGCACTTGCCATGTTTATTTTGGCTATTAGGGTGCGTTGTTTTGGCTTCTCTTTCACTAAACATTATAGAACAGGATTAAAATAAGAGAATCAATACATACTTTTAATGATAGATTTACACCAAAGGGACAGCAACCCAATCCATGATGCTTGAAGTAAATTTGAAAAAAAGCATATTGAAATTATAAATATAAATAACTATTCTTAAACTATGGTTATTATACTGTTTCCTGCAATGAAATTCAAGTATTATGCCAATTTGTCGATCAATGGGATCTGTCAAAATTTGATATTTGGAATGGAAGGGATGAATGAATGTGGTATAATGAAATTCTGTAAATTGTATTTGGCATTTTTTAAGTCCATGACTTATTACGCAATTAATGGCCAATAGTTCTTGTGTAATTAAAATTTTAAAGCACCATAAATAAATTGAATTTTGACCAATCCTTCCGGTTTTAATGACTTTCATTCTATATATATATATATATATATACAAGGACCAGTGAAATCTGAAACAAATCCGAATTCCCGTTTATCCTTTTCTTGTAAATGGTCACTATGATTCAGCATTTTCTTTTTGTTTTTTTCAGGTCCTTCTAATCATAATAGAATAGGATCATAATAGAAATAATAAAATTGTGATTTTCAAAAAATCTAAAAACGAATTAACTTGTTCCAAAATTTTTTAGTTATAGGCAAATATTAAATCAAATTTTGTTACAGTGGAACCAACAAATTTTCCATTTTTACTACAAATAAACTTTTTGATTCACCGATACGATGAATATAATATCCTTAAAATTCTCCAAGAAAATGGCTGACAGCTGAGGTCTTGTGGAATCCAGCAGTTGTTTCCTGTAATATTATACCTTATTCTTTCAATTGTTTCAGAATTACATGGCAATGTTCAGTCAGTTATTTATTTTTTTATTAAGTATTGCATGCGTTCCGGAGAATTTCGCTAAGAAATGGGAATGCGGCGTGAAACAACTGCGGTGGTTCACTCGAACTACGTCGGCGTTAACTTGCGGAATAGATCAAATTAGTTAATTCCAATTATAGATTAATTATATAAAATCAATTAACCTTTTATTATTTTTCTGATTTTTTCTTATATTTTTAAAATCACAGAAGAGAAACAGTAATTAAGTGGTTAACACTCTTTTGGATAGGCTGGTTCTATAGGAACGTTAACAGGATATTGTGGCATAAATGTGGGTTATTAGCCACTCGCCCTTTCAAAGAATTTAGTATTCTTCCATCACAGCAGGATCCAAGCCACAATTCTGGAAATAAGCAACAACCATCTAAACAATAACCACTCGGCTTCTTTATCCTTTTATATCATTTGCTTAAATTTTAGTACATATCAATAATTGTTGTATTGCACATAATGAATGCTATGCTGATCTTTTAAAATCGCAATATGTTTGTGATAAAGTATTTTGCGAATGTCTCTATAAGATTCCATCGGAAGAAACAATGAGCATACTGCGATACAAAACTTGTGATGCAGCTACGTTATCATCTTGCAAGTTTATGAGAATTTTTGGTGGTTTTCGGAAAAGTTAGTCAATATTTTATTTATTTTATTCCTTTAATCATTTCTACCACCTATTTTTTCAGAAACCATCTAAAACTTAATTTGGCCCATATTAAAATGCACCTAATATATATATTTAAAAAATTAGAAACAGCAATTGAATTTCTGACCAATTGAATTTCTTTTAAAGTTTTTAGTTAATTAAATAGAAAATATCATTTTCATTATTATTTTTTATTACTGTTTTTTAGCGATTATTAGTACTAATTATTTATTATTGTTAGTAAATATCATTTATTATTATTATTACTATATTATTATTATTATTATTATTATTATTATTATTATTATTATTATTATTATTATTATTATTAATTATTATTGCAGCATTCAATCACGCATGGAACGAGCTTAAAACAACGCAAGAAAAATTGAGACAAGCAATGAAAATAAATTAATGCTCACGACTATGCGTTAAATTATTGGTTTTTCTTGATAAGCAAAAAAATTTAGAAAGAAAAAATTTTTTTTCAAGGTGTTCATTACATTATTTCCGTTGCTTTTATAGCGCTTTTAAAATTTTCCTTTGCCGTTTTATATTCATATTGAATGTAATATTTAATTCTTTAATGAATGCGTTTTAAGCTCAATTTTATTACTAAAATTTTTCATAAAATATTTCTGAATATTCTTTGAATTTCTAAACGTCAAGTAGAGCTTTGAGCAAACCTCACCAAATGCAGCTAGAATGGCACCAAACTGTTTTTTTATGATTCCCGCTCCACCATTCCAGCAGATCGGCTTTGGCTTTCAGGCTGATTCTAATTTACATTTTTGACCTAAATATTTTCATTCATATTAACCATCACAGTAAAATAAAATTTTTTATAGAAAATTTTGAATAGTATTAATAGCATTAATTATTTATGTATTACGTATGAATTTTGAATTAATAAATATTTCTTGTTGGATGCAATAAAAATAAAAATTAACGCGAATAAAATATTGATAATTGCTGGAAAATATCATAAAATTATGAATTTTAATAGATGCCCTTGAAATAAACCGATTTTCTCATCATACATTTCTAATCGGTTGTTGATAAATTTTATATTCCATGCGAGTTTATCCAACTTTCTTTGTAAGTTCTATTTAATTAAGTTATAAGTTCATAAATAGTTATGCAAAGTCCATTCAGCTCATATCATTCAGTTTAAATTGTATCTTCGAAGGAATATGCTTTTGGAAATTAACTGAACAAGACAAAGCTAGGAAATTTAATACTTAATACTTGATGAGTTGTTTGTAGTTTTTTTCTATTTAATTTTCGTTTCGTTTTGGTATCTCATTTTAATTTTTTCATTATTAAAAAAATGAGATAAGATAAAATAAGATACGATTTAAAGGCACCCAATTTTTTTTTATGAAATTACAGAACTTACAGAAATTAGCTACAGAAATTTTTGAAAGCAATTATGCGAATTTAACGTGAAAATACATCTTGATAATATATTTGTGGAACTTAAAAGCTCATCTCAAATTTAATAAAGAAAGTCAATCATCAGTCAAGATGCAAGAAATGGTGCAATAATAGTGAATCAAAAAGATAAAAGGGAGGATGGGAGAAGGGTGGAATACAATCTTGCAAGGATGAGAAAGGCGTTGCCCATTTAACCGAAAAGTCCATTTCATTTTATTTTAGCTGATGATAAAGCATGCTAGAAAATTTATATTCCTGTTACTCTTATTGATATTAGTTATTAATATCGGTTTAACAGAAAAAATGAATTGGCGATGTGGCATACCATATACGCTCTGGTTTGCTCGAATTGTTATGCAGTTCAGCTGTGGAATGGAACAGCTTCGTTAGTGATTGTTAATAATATATTATTCTATTAAGAAAAGTAAATTACAAAATTTAATTTAATGACAAAAGAAAATTGGAGCGAATTTAGCAGGAGTTTCCTAAACTTTTTGGCTACTTATTTTTTTTTAAGATCCCACACCATTATTGACTCACTCACTCTCCTGGTTTTTCGCAGCATACATGTCAAGAGAATCCTTTGGTGATAGAAGTAGAGATGAACCGCCAGCACTGCCCGATTGTGATTCAAAATAGTGAATGTATATAATTAAATAACAAAAAACAAAAAACTAAAACAAAATTAAAAAATAAAAGTTAAATAAATGGTTCGCGCTCACTATTTGTGCTCATTCCACAGAAATTTTGGTAAGTTGTCGGTACTTAAATTTTTTGGTGGCAGGCTTATTTCTGTTGGAAAGGTCTACTCTCAAGCTCGAGGCTAAAATCTAAAAAGCAAGAAATGTTTTAAATATGTTCAGTTTAGAATTAGTGCTGATAGGTTATAAGAAACTAAAAAAAAATTCTCTAAAATTAACTAAATTTATTTCATATTTATCTATCCTGTTTCAATCGCTTACAAATCGCTTTCATTCAGTGCAGATTTTTTAATTTGTAGATTAGTTTCATATTAGTTCCCACTCAAAAATTAGAAAATTGCCTCTCAAAATTCTATCGCATTACTATTGATCACAAATTGATAAACAATAAATTGCTTTAAAATTCAGCTGTAATGAATAAATGTTGTACTTTGCATGATGATTGTTATGGTGATTATAATCAAACTCAGCATATTTGCGATGCTATGTTCTGTAAATGCATTTCAAAGGTACCATCTAAAGAAACAATGATGGTCTTGCAATTTAAATTTTGCAAAATGATTACCGAAGGATCATGTCAATTAGCCAAAACATTTGGAAAATATCGGAAATGTTAGTCTTAATTATTTGATTTTATTTATAATCGACTGTGCATCCAGTTGTTTTGAAATATAATCTAATAATTAATAATTGCTGTAGCTAAAACCTAAAATAGGAAAATTTGGAAAAGCCTTATCTATCGAATTTTTAAAATGCAAAATAGAGTAGAGAAGATTCTGAATTACAGTATAAATGGCAAATTTCGAGAAAAGAACAATTGAAAGAACTGATGGCAAGCAGTCATCACGAACTTTGTTTCCCCCACGACATTGACATGCCACTGAAAGTTTTTCAAATGTACGTCATACTATTTTAACCACCATTTTTTAATATATATTTGTTTTTTAAATATATACATTTCCTTTCCATCTTCGCTCCCGGCGGATCATAAATAATTAAAATAATTGGCCTAAATTTTGATTCATATTGGTGCGTGTTGATTAGCCAAATAATTAATACCCAAAACAAATATAATCTAATAATTAATAAATATAACCTAATAATTATTTATAATAATTATTCATAATCTAATAATAACCAAATAATTAATGATTAATTTTCACGTTAGGGATTTTCCATGAAAGCGATTTCATTATTTCTTATGTTTAATTTAGATGAGAAAATCTTGGAAAAACACATTATTTCTAATTTCCTTTCCAGTTGTCTTATCCGCAAAATGTTAACCACGCATGACTGTGCTCCACTCTTCTTCCTTCGAAACTCGTTAAAATCCACTCACATTCTAGATTACGAGTCGGAAAAGGCGAGTCATCAACTGCAAAATCTATGTTGTGCTCCGCTCAACATACTTTTAAATCCCATCATGCTTTATAATCCCATCCTCTTTCTCATATCAAAACCATTGTGGCCTAGTGGAATCGGCTGAATCTCTAATATATTCATTTGCTGCTGAAAATATTTCAATAATCATTATTGTCCTTAATTTCAAGTTTTGGCATCCAATCCATCATATCCACATAAAATAATCCAAGAACCACTATGCCATAGAATAATCTAAAAATTCACTTCACTTGATTGGAGTTCTTTCGGTTTGGCAATCTGCAAAAAAAAGCAAAAAAATGTTAAATCAGTGAATAAAAGGAAGTATTAAAATTAAAACCCATCTAAACATAATAATAATAATAATAATAGGTAAAGTTAAGTCACAAGTTAAGTCACCAAAAGAGGCACAAAGTCACAAAGCCAGTTTCAAGTAAATTAGGTTAAATAGAAAATGCAAAGAAATAAAAACTCTACGCATATTCTTTACAATAGCCATAAAATTAATATCGCCTAAAATTAGAACTTTTTCTAACATAAAACTTAATTATTTGAGTTAACAACTCCGTATGCTTGTTACTTTTTAATTTTTGCACGTCATTAAGAAGTTTTACGAATAAATTTGGAGCGAAAGAAGAAACACATTAGGATTTATATTGTTATTTATAATAATTATTATAATTATAATAATTATTATAATTAATTAACAGTTAATTATTTATGTAAAATTTTATAGAATAAGATAAAGGAAATTCTTTCCTGAGCAAATGAAGGATGTTTGATTTGACTTTTTTGGTTCAAAAATGTTTTATTATTAGACAGATGGATGAAAAATAAGTGAAGCAAAAATCAGTAATTGATAGCTTCTCGCTTGATGGTTTCCATTACTTTCTTTCGTTGCTAATGATAACAGTGGATAAACTAATAAAGAATTTTTTATGATTATTAATTATGCGCTTAATAAATTAAAATAATTCGTACGAACGAATCCAAAGAATAACTTTGCTCGTTTAAATGTTACTAAATTTGTCTAATTTTGATCGCTTGTTCGCACGAATATTGTTTAACTATTGGTGTGATTAGTTAATCTTAATTAGCAAAGCTGATATGATTGAAATATTGTGATGCAATAATGTTGCAGGATTTTTATCAAAACAAAGATATAAGCTTATTGCATGCAAAAAAATCTTGTTCAAAACGTGGTTTTAAAATCTTTTCTGATTGCCGGCATTATTCATCAGTAAATTACCAACCATCTGAAATTTGATCTTTAAAGCAATATGGAAAGTTGTGGAAAATTTATATTTTAGATGCTTTGTTCTAAAATTGGCGTGAGACCAAAAATTTTTTTTCACTACATCTTATAATATAATTTTCAATAATTAATAATATTACCATTAAATTAATAGATATTATCACATCAGATTAGATACTTATTTCAAAAATATTTAAGGTATTAACTCGCAAGTCTAATTCGAGGAAATTGTGATTTGCTAGCTAGAAGCCAAAATCATAATTGTGCTAATAATAATAACAATAATAATATTAATAATAATGATGATAATAACAATGTTAACAATAATATTAATAACATTAATAATAATAGTATTAATAGTAATTTTCATAACAGTACCGTAAGATCACTAATCTTCATATTTTTTTAAGTTAAGTTGATGTATTTGGCTTGAGTCTTCATAAAAGCGAATAAAAATTTTATTTCGAAAAAAAAGCTTCTGCTGACTTAATTAATAAATGAATTAACAAATATTAATATTTTGAAAAATTATTGACAATTAGGTTTGCAGGATAAAAAACTTGATAACCACTGCTTTAAAGAATTAGTTATTAATGAAGTGAATGAATCTCATTACGTTAATTTTGTGCGGCATATACAGTTCTTCACTTCGATATTTGCTGAGTTATCGTTAGGATTTCGAGTAAAGGAAATATCTTATTTTAATTTTTCATGATCAGATATATAATTAACTACTTGAAGAAATCTTTCTTTGGAAGTGGTTTAAAGCTTAAAAAGCTAATCCATTTTGCTAATTCCTCATAAGAAGAATAGCAATGAAATTCTTTATATAGAAAATTTATAAAAATATAAGCAAATAATTAAGTGGGGATAAAATGGTTCAATGGGTTGTTGCTCAATTGGGAGCGCCGATGCTGAGGTTCGATTCCCCGCAGGAGAAAATCTGTACAAAAATCCGAGTGATATTGGCGACTCACCTGTATTTCTATCGCCAAGATACTCCATGGCATATTGTCGGATGCGACAAGCCAGTGGAGCGAGTTTAACCAATAATGATGAGGACTCATAAAAAAAAAAGAAAAATTAAGGCACAACCAATTTCTGCATATTGCCGTTGTCTAATCTTGTTGCTCACCTAACAACTAAAAAAATCTTTCAGATAAAAGACTCCAATATCGCAAATTAAATATAAATCATGAAATCATGATAACCATTTCAAAGACTCAGTTTTACGGTGAGAAAATATCATTTTTTGGCAAAGTCAACAAGGAAGAACAATAAAACAAGAAATTTTAACAATTTTGTAATTTTTTAAGCCAAAAAATATTAATCAAAACAAAATTTCGAAATTTATATAAATGTAAAAAAGATAATAAAAAGAGTAATGTCCTGAATTATACGATTCGTTTGCCTCTGTTTCGATCATTTGAAATCCCAGCATTATGATGAGAAATACGCAAAATTTAATAATCATCGTAAAACCTAAATTTATCTTTCCAAAAAAT